TTCCCTTGACAATGGCGCCAAGATGTCGCCGAAACGTCGGATTTATCTATCGTTAGTTTTTGCCTGTATATGTTTATCTAAATCATTGTTGATTAGTATTTTCAATTACTGTATTATATTTTATTCAATAAATTAATGCCATGTTTAATTTAAATCTTAATGCAAGAATACTTTTTTAAATTTCATGTTATGTGTAATCACAAACCAGAAAATCTGTAAATAAATGGTTGTTGTTTTAGAAGTAGTCTTAAATCAGACCCTTTTCTTTCTTGGTGTGCAATACATTTTTTTTTCATTGCTACTAACAGTGTGGCTTCATGTAGCTGCTTGATAGATATCTAACTCACTGCAGAACGACATTGAAAAATGCTAAACAACACTGGAAAAGCTATTTTGTACTTTTTCCTTTGTGCCAATAAGTCATACTGAATAGAATTTAGCAGCTCTGAGTAAAAGCCAACTACAATCCTGGCCAAATGGTTTGGGACACTCCACTCATAGAAACAGCATAATGCCTAGCTCATACTAGTGACATAACACTGTTTGCAGTGTGGACATCCTGACTTAATTATAGCAACATACACGTACATGTAACAGCATAAACATAACAACATCAGGAAAAACTTATCTTTTCCTTATGTCGTTATGGCTATCTCGTTATGATGTTATATTCCTCTTAAAACAAGTGTAAACAGCATCAACATAACAACATAACAAAGAATCAATCAGAGTAGTGCAAGAACTGTCAAACCCAGTCTGCCACCAGCATTATTTTCAAAAAGGTGGTGACTGTCAAGTGGAATTAAGAAGTTTAATCCTGCTCACCCAGAATAATATTCTCAATCACCAAACTAAGCCTCTAACAACATCATGGTACTGGGTGTGTGCTCTCCTAGCTACTTGTTAAAGGATCAGATGCATTGTCGTCCATTTTCTTCTACCATTTTTCCCTTTATTATTTTTTCAACAAGCACGTCATCATCAAAGATAAAGAACCAGAATTATCCCAAATGCAACAAATATTTCTTCTTCCATTTTTAAAATCTTTTTTTGTCTTATGCCTTTATGTCAATGGTCACACATAACATAACCAATTGTGTCATTCCGTCATTATGTTGTGTCGTATATGTCATTCTGTAGGTAATATGAACCAAGCACTACAAAGATCTTTTCCCCACACCCTCTAAACAATTTTGTAAATAAATTATCATTAATAAAGAAGTGAGATTTAATAACATTTCCATTACCTAGATGATGAGTATCTTGATATCAGAAACTATGGACTCAAATGGTCTTTTAAACTTGTTACCATATTTAAATGAAGGTGACACAGAAGGCATGACCTAGTCAAATCTCATCTGTAGCATGTTATCCCCTGTCAGGAATATGGCAAGTGAGACAAGAGCATATGCCTGAAATAAATTTTCGCGATGGTGGCTACAGCAGCCTTGCTGTCTAATTGTTAATGGTCACATTCCCTTTAAATCATGCCTGACATAAATCTAAAATGTACCACTGTGAACGGCTAGGAGGTTGTATTAGCTGTGGCACCACTTATTACAATTTTGCCAAAATCTGAAAACAAACTATAATTTTCAACTTGCTAACTCAAAAGATGGTGCATTATACTATCTGTTTTTGGCAGCTATTTTTGTTATTGCTTTTCTTAAGTTAAAGTTCACAGTTAGTGATGTGTAGGTGACAAAGCTTTTTAAAGAACACTCTGTTCCAATGTTGCTTGTTTTACATGTTCAATAAATTTGTTTTGGTCACATTTACAAAAATTTTCTTGCATGTAAGTTTTATGCCTAGTACCATATTAGTATTCATCATTTGATTTCAAAAGAAACTAGCTTTCACAAAAAACTCCTGCTATTCATTAGGTAACAGCACCTTGAAAGTGCATCGAAGAACTACATGACTGTTGTGTACAAGAACTTAAAAGTGAATACTGATTGAGCCTTGCAGCAGTCTAAAAGCAACTGCTGGGACCTTTAGTTTCTGATAAACATCTTGACTCACCTTTGACTTGAGTAGTGTTTTTGTGATTTTAGGGTCCCTGTATGACAGGTAGAGTTGATGTAAAGGTAACTTGACAAGACCTAACAACTAATCACACATAACAAACATTTCAGATAGAATTCTTAGTGATCAATCACTGCTGACAAACTTTACACGTCTCTCAGCCAACACCATCACAGCCAAACTGGCCAATCACTCTCAACAGACCAGAATCATAACACTATCAACTGACAAACACTATTCACTAGAACCTAAAGATGACTTCCACTCAGATTGTCAAAACGTCAGTCACCAACATCAGTTCTTTTCAGAACCATTCTTACACAAAATTAATGATCACCAAAATCAACTAGAATTCTTTCATTCTTATTAGCATTATTATTTACTTGATTTTAATGTACTATGGGTCCTTGGTTATTTCTATTTACCTACATGTAATTGTACGACTTCATACTCATGTTAATAGAGTCTATGGTATTAAAAGGGCTAACATTGCAGAAGGCCTGGTTCTGTCAAAAACTAAATACAGCAATATAAGCTACGCTGCTTCAAAAATCTGAAATAGCTGAAATCTTTATACCTTTTTCTGCAACAAAGCTGGATACAATGATAAAGAGCCTATCCACAAGGGAATACTACTACACCTTGTCTTCCAGGTCATTTGGCCTAACCCTGTTCCAAACCTCTACAACCATGAAGTTATTGCAGACTCGTTGTAGCAGAGTTGGAGTGAGTAGCACTGGTGCAACCTAAATTATAATGTCAATTATATAGTCATTACAATAGCTTGTATAATTGTACAACTACACTGCAGAGAATTTTAACGAAAAAGCAAGCATGCAAGCAGTTTTGCAATTTTGAGCTCTAGCAAACGAGCAGTCATCTTATTCTTGCGAATAATTCGAGTGAAGGCCAAATTTTAATGGGACTATTAAATACCCGTTACATCCATTTCTTCGTATGTCCGTACACCAAGCCCAAAATCTCAAAAAATAAGATAGCAGCATCATTACCAAAGGTACATCTTTGACATTGGACATCCATGTTATGGTTAATTGACAGCTTTCAAAACAAGGTATCTACTGACCAGTATAACGTGTGAGCTCAGGTCTAGAGCTCATTGAGGTTGCTTGTTTTTTTTTTAAAGTTGACTGCTGACCAGGTACTGGTTTTCCATTGGATTGCAGATTGCAAGTCAGGTTGTTACTCTGGGGGAGAAGGAGGGAGTAGGTGCAAAGGCAAAATTTTGGTGCAAATAAACCCCTGGCACATTGTTGACTTTTGTTCTGACATACCTTGCATATGGCTGGCACGACTGAAATTTGAATTGATCAATCAGGATTCAGCAGGCGAGAAAAACTGTCCTGACGTCAATGTATGTTAACAGGAGGCCTTTAAGTTGGGCAACTTTTCTCACTGGAGATGGCATTAAATATTCCCAAAAAGGTATTTACATTTCCAAAACCCATATCAGATTGCGAAAAGTGAAAAATATGAAATATTTTGTATCTCCAAGTTTCTAATTTGGCTCAAAAAATGAGTCACCAGCAACTTGCTTGTAGTTTGTCAAGTGTCGCATGGTAAGATATTAGTTGCATCATTCTGAGTAAAATATGCTGTTCTTCATCAAATTAAACCTGGAATTCTCAAGTTAACTATTAGAAGAGGCCAAAGCAACTTTAGCATTGTCTTTATTTCTGTTAGCTGTGAAGAAAAATACTTTTGTCGTGTTTGTTTTGGTAGGACAGCTGGTTTTCGACTTACGCTCATACTGTGGGCACAGCTGCCATATACAAGGTAGTCTTTGCACAATTGTCTCTTGGAAAATTCTTGACATATTTTGTACAAAATTTCTACAATCTTGGTTACGCTTATTGGGTATAGCTTGTTAAAATTTAACTGGAAAAAATAGCGAAACCACACGCTTAACAATTACATGCTCACAATTAATCATTTTTTGAGTTTCTGATCCAAGAAAAACAATCCTCTTTTTAATGGTAGTTATTGCAATCAGAAACCCCGTTTCTAGGCTTGGCTACATCTATATATTATTTTCATAAACCTCTGTCAACTTTGCTTCAGATTATGTAATCATGGACCAGTATGCTCAGCTAACCTGCTTAAACCCAAATGGTGGATTTGCAGTTCCCCAACAAACTCTTGATTTAGACACCTCTTCACACCAGAACATGCGACACACCAAGTAAAGGTTGCTCTTAGTAACAAGTCCCATAGGAACATCTTGGCTGCTATGGTAATCATGCTGGAAGAGTGCTTTCCCCTCTGGTATCCACAGAAGATTATACAGAGTTGAGGGATCTTGCTCAATGGCAAGGTCAATTTGTTTAGCCTCCTGAGATGACTGTTTGTCTAACTGGTTGGCAGTTTCAGTTCTCCTGAGAGGTGTCACATTACACACCTGTCCAACTGGATGAGGGTTTGAAACTTGCATGAGGTCAGTTGTCCTGGCAGGTGCTGTTATAGTTGGAAGAGGAGGCTTCCTTAGCATGTTTGGTTTAACATGCAGTTGCTTTCCATCTGTCATTAACTGTATTTTAACCTATGAACCACAAACACACCAACATAATCAAAGGTTCTTGCGAGCCAGCTCATGGATGAATTGGATTAGTCTAGAAAAAGTAGTCGAATAAAAATGAGGAACTGGTGGATTGGGAGTATTGAAAGTTATTTTGAATGTTGAAAAATCCACGACAAGGCGAAATGCAGGTCTGCAGAGCATACCTGTGCCTACTTACATTTACTTGATATAATTAGTTTTTATTGGCTGAAACAGTCCAGGCTAAAAAGGAGAATTCTGATTGGTTGCCTGAGCGGTCCAAATTTTGCAATAGGGACTGCTATTAGACGGACCGCTCACGAACTGATTTTTTTTTGGTATTTTATTGATATTTATATAAGCAGAAGCATATCACTTAGAAGCGTTTAACTCTGGTTCAATGCTGCCGATTATCCCGAACCAATCAAATTTAACTTCCTAATATGGAGCAAGGGCTCTCGCGTGGATATGTCATATACGCGCAGACTACACGCGGACAGCAATGGCGGACACATTTCGTTGCGAGTTGAGAGAAGGTT